TGTAATGTCCTACCTAGCTATTCTATCAATAATCTATCTATCTCTCTCTAACTCTCTAAAAATGGATTTGTTTTGTGGTTCGATTGTGGTCGCAAATTTAGTCGTAGACATCGCTATAAAATATGAAGGACGATAGACGTGTTTGATACAGTATACCTTTTCGACTCCTCAGGTGTCTAAGTAACCATATTTACAGTAGGGACACGCTAAGTTTTGGTACAAGACATACTATTTATTCATTGTAACAGGAACGTTTAGTTTATCGCCCAGAAAAATGGCAAACGCCAATCCATATGTCGCCTGGAGACCGCCAAGAATCACAAATGTTATCGTTATTTATTTTGTCATTGAAATGTCGCTTACCCTTACGTTACTCAATACTTATACCTTATATAACTTTATTCTGAGTTACACGTCATTCGTCATATAACTTGTAACACAGTAATTACAGTACGAATATCTCAGATGCAAACACAGCCACCCCCCCGTCCCGGAAAAATTTCTCCGGTCCATCGCCTCCCCTTCTTGATAAAGTCCACCGCTCTCCAACCAGGACTACCTCGCGTCGAAGGACGGTCTCCCCTCCCCCCACTTGTCAAAAACAGGTCCCACCGTCCCCGCGGGTGATAGAAGGGACGGGCGATCCCAAAGACCTCCGCACGTCCAGCACCTCCCTACCGTTCTAATGTCGCCCAGTGGAAGAGACGTCTCGCCTTACTGTGCCGACGTCGGCCGGGAATAGGAATCGTCACCCGACGTCGCCATGGTTACCACACCTCCTCCACTCCTACCGACTACTACCTCCACATCTTCAAGTGGTAGTTAGCAGAAACCGTCCAACTTAAAAGAAGTCGAGGAGTCCCTCTCTTGTAGGAGACGACCCTAAACCTACGTACTCCCTGCGTCTACAAGACGAGGGTGAACTCCAGGCCCGCTAACTACCACGGTCCTCGCCTTTTCTGAGGTGTCGTCAATGACCCCTCAGTGTGTCTCCACTACACCCCACCCACCCCGACACGAGCAAGGATCTTCAGGTGTTAGGTAGAGGTGGACAGAACTCTCGCAACTCGGGTGCCACCAAAGGGGTGGTGGTCCAGTGGCTTACCAGGTAGAAGGTCGGACATCCTCTAGCAGGGTGGTCTCTACCTACAGGCTACTCCCACCCTACAGCAGACTTGAAGTCCCTCGAACTGTCTGACCACTGACCTCCACGTCGACAAAGCACATGTCCCTCTTCTCGTCTCCCCTTTCTTACGTTGGAAACTGCAGCCCTGGTCACCGACTACCGAGAGACACACAGACCTTCTTCTACAAAAGAGTGTCCGTGCAATGTGTCTACTTGACACTTGGAGGTACGAGTCACATGCGCTTTGCAGCACCAACTTAGGGTGGACTGTACCACCGGACACCACACGTCCACGTCCGACCCACTCTCGAAACAGGAACGTGTGGAACTCGCCCTAACTAGCACCAAACTCCGCTCGAACTAAGTGTTTGCCTAGGACCGCGCGTGCCAAGCGACGCACAGTCCACGACCTCCCTCCTTCAACGTATCACCGGTACAACTGTCGCAGAACAGGTGTCTGGACAACCGGACATCGACCGCTTGACGTCCCCAAAGTCCTACTCCACCATGGACATATAATTGTCTACATAAACAGACGACGCGGACTACTTCTCTCATTCCGAGTGTCCATCTTTATTCAACTGGCACGTAACCTGCACACATGCATTACGTCCTCAACGTGAGCTCAGTCATCCAAGATCTTGTATTCCCCAAGATGTTACACTATCTATAACTATATATCTATCTCTCTCTTTCTCTATCTATCTATCAATATATCTATCTATCTCTCTCTATCTATCTATCTCTCTATCTATAAGGAACCGCAGTAGACAAAAGGCATTGCTATAGCAACACGTCATGTTTACGCTGCATTTTCTATGAGGTAAATATTACCCGCTGGCGGATATGGGTATAAATGGCAATTTATTTGGCGATTTTTTCAATCTGACTTCCTATTGACAATTTTTAACAACAGAGGGTGCTATATACATTAACACATTTTCAGGAAAAGTCACGGACTGGGAGACTTTAATATGTTATGGAAAAAAAGTTACATACAATAAAAAAACAGCTGCGGGCAAAATGTACCCGTTGGCGGTTCTAGTGTTAACTATATTTTATATACAGTGTCCTTAACGATTTCTTGTTTTATATGGAGATTCTTTGTTTTATATTTTATGTATGCACCATGACATCAAGTCAAATTCCTGGTATGTGTGAACCTACCTGGCAATAAACCCGTTTCTGATTCTGATTCAAAAAATATACTCTGGACATACAGTTATTTATGTATTCTTTTACATGGAAAAATTCCTTGGACCTCAAGCCTTTGACCATTTGACCATCGTCTCACCTGGTAATGCATTAGTATGTGCATGATGTAGTCGTATATTTCGGAGGAGACCCGTCCCTCGGGCTTGTAGGGGAACAGGACGTACTGAATCCCCAGCAGAGGCACCAGGATGAGGGTGGCTCTCACGGCTTTCATGTAGAGACTAGACTCCGCTTGATGGGTCACCTTCAGTTTGGTGATGAGGACTCGCACAATGTTGAGCAGAAAGAACAAATTGACCTAGAGGTGGAAAGCAGCAGAGAGGGCATCAATACATCAGCAGAATATTCTGGCTAATAGCTGCTGTTAAAGACTAATCTGCGGAATCTGCATTTGGCAATGCGACAACATTTTGGTATTGGAAGCATTTTGGTTTCCATTTGTAGTCAAGAAGTCTTGACCAAATGTCGTACGTATCTGGTCACATTTCATTGGGCTTTGGTTGTATGCAAGTAAAGAGTCCATGTAGAAAGCAAAAAAGCGGAACACATTGCAATCTCAAAACCAATCAGCTTGTGTCTCAAGACATTACATTACATGTTATCTTTCCCATGGACAACTGCCCATGTGGTTCATGTCTCAACTGGCCAGTACGTGTAAGGTTTAAGCAAATACAGAATGTTCCATCATGAACAAAACAACACCAAGACATTTGTCGGCCAAGTTTCTGTAAAAGGTTTCAGAACTGGACATTTAGTCCTACGAGAGTCTTCAGGGAGCACTTTTCTCTGAAGCGTGCTCGGCTCTTCTGTTTAGTTGAATTCCTAGAATGCAACATCGGCCAGAAGACCATTGGGTGGATCCTCACATGGGGCAGATGCATTGATTTTGCAAGATAAGTGTATTTACGCATGATATGAAACCGTGTTCTGGTCTCAGGCCACCCACAGAGTTCACTTAGAAAGAGGCAAAACAGACTTATTTTTTTCGTTGCGCTATTAAACAAAGAGAAGTATGGAACACAATGTTGCTATTGTGTTTGACTCTACTGTAATTGATTGGTTTGAGGGAAAAGAGTGAAGTCTTACCAAGAGAGCTGCACAGATGGGGCCATGGATGATGTAGAGTAGTGATGTTTTGGAGCTGATCCAACAGCTACAGAGAAGAGAGGATGCCAGAGAAATGTTTACCCAACAGTGTTATTGCATCACATGACAACCGACCCACGATGCAGATCAATGGGTTTTACAAGAAATTAATTAGTATCAACAGCTCAGCGGGGGGATTGATTAAAGAAGCCATCAGCAAGGTTGAATGCTTCGTTGAACTCTGCCAGGTGCGGATAAACATCAAATAATCATTTTAATAATGTATATACATAACATTTCATTATTATTATTCTGAAATTAAGCTGCGTTAATCTTCTGCATTTCACATTTGAGACAGATTTCTAACCGGTTTCTATGATTTTTCAGGAGAAGAATTAGAAACAGTTTATTTAAAGGTGACCTATCATGCAAAATGCACTTTCGTACGTCTTTTATTCATGAATATGTGTTCCCCGGTGTTCCAGGGAACTCACTAAGTGTCAGAAAACACAACCCTCTCTATTTTCCTCCATACCCAAATATCTAAAAAAGGGGCAGCAACGGATCTGATACAGACTGATCCAGATTTGAACACTTCTATGACGTGACAAAAGTGGCTCTACGGCTATTGGGCCCACTCCACCAATCAGGAGGAGACAGCTACGGATATTGCCCTTCGAAAGCGCTGGAGACGCCGTAGTACATATGCCAGGCCTGTAGATGGTGCTGTTCTCACAGAATCAGCCCATGGAAAGACAGTGTTAAATTGAGCGAAACGAGGAATGGCTAAAATGCATGATCTGTTTGGTATTTTGAAAAATAAAAAGTATAAATATTCCATATATAGGTATGGTCCTACACTATATTATTCAAATATAGCATGATAGGTCCACTTTAAATTTGGTACGTGGCATTTGTTCCATCCTGTTGTCTTCGGGTCAAATCTGACAGATTTACTACTTTCATCAATCATAACTTTTTTGTTTTAGATTCGATTGCATTAAGGTTTATGATCTCCTTCACAGTACATTTGAACATATCAAATTGCTGACCACCACTTTCATTGAATTTCGGATGATTTAGTCAACTTTGTAACAAAATGGCGGTCAAAAATGACCGACATAAAGAAAAGGAATTAGTAACCATCTGGATCAGATAAAACACACACACAAACACCCACATACTCTAGATGTGTGTCCCCCCCATTAATTACTACGCGTCGGGATCCTGATCTGCCGACGAGGCTCCATTAAAATATAAAATCTGAGACTGCCAAGGACACAC